ATGGCCCAAGTGCTTGGGCCCTGCACCCCATGGGAGACCAGGAAAAGCGCCTGGCTCCTGGCTCCTGCCATCGGATCAGCGTGGTGTGCCGGCAGCAGCGCGCCAGCCGCGGTGGCCATTGGAGGGTGAACCAACGGCAAAGGAAGACCTTTCTCTCTGTCTCTCTCTCTCACTGTCCACTCTGCCTGTCAAAAAAAAAAAAAAAAAAAAAAGGAAACCCACACTTAGAGAAAGACTTATAAGTATAGTATTGAATACATATTTATTGAGCACATACTATGTGCAAAAGCTCTAGGTGCTGGGAATCCAAATGTGAGCAAATTGTCTACCTGCTTTCCAAGAGCAAGGAGAGCCAGACAATACTTCCAAGAGCTTGTAGAAAATGGAATGAAAATATGAGTTAGTTGGTTTTGGCACATAAAGATAAAGGCTTACCAATCTGCTGGGAAGGAGGAAATGTGCTACCCTGAGAATCACTGAGCGCCTCCTGCAGGGGTCCTACACACACAGACCCTACACAGGTCACGCTGGGCATTTCCCATGAACTTTCTGAGGTGCCCTATCATGTGGCATTTAAGAGAGGTCCCTACGGGTGAGTAAAGGCTCAGGAGACCAAAAAGAGAGGAAGGAGCTGGCAGGTACAAAGGCACAGGAGGGTGAAAGTGCCCGCAGAGCCGAGGGGAGCAGGAAAGCCTGTGTGACAGGTCAAGGTTGGATGCCACATTAGGCAAAGAGTAGATATTAGACCAGAGAAGTAGGTTGGGCCATATGGTCAGTCAGTGGCCTCACAGGAGAGATCTGCTGAGGAGTTTGAACTTTACTTTGGAGGCAAGAAAGACTCAGCAAAATGTAATAAACAAGAAAGTGCATGTCAGACCTGCTCATAGGAACACACCTCTGATGGCACTGGGGAAGACATAAGAACAATTAGGGGAATGTTAGAACTGTGTAGGTGGGGGATGACAAATGGGAACCTGACCTGTGATTGTATTTACAGGACTGGAAAAGAAAGAACAGTTTGAGAGATGCTGAGTAGGTGATGGAAGGAGAGGCAGAGGCAACAGGGAGTTGAGGATAGCAAGGTATCTAATTTGGAGAACAGAACAAGGGTAGAGAGGGATGCCACTAGAGAAGAGAATGAGAGAATGAATGGGAGGAGGCTTGGGAAGTGGATCCATACTGAAATCTGAGTCACACCCTGTGCCACTTGTGTTCCAGACCCATTCACGCCTCCTCATCTCCGGGTAACAGCCAACACTCACTCTCTGATCTCATCTCCTCTGCTCTCCCTCCTCCCCAGATGGTAGCCTCAGGTGCTCTCCCTTTCAAACACACCTCAGAGGCTCTGTGGCTCCCTAAGCCCAGAACAGTCTTCCCACAAGTATCTACATGGTTTGCTCCTACACCTCCGTGAAGTCTAGGTACTCCCAAGCCACCTACTACACTCACCAAAAAAAAAAAAAAAGCTCAAAGAAGTCAGGAGTCTTTTTACAACATCCTCTCTAATGACTAAGAGTTTACCTGGCACAGAGTTGAGGGAGCTATATGCATGCTTAAGCCAAAATATTTATTTAAGTCAGTAATACAGATCATAATGAGTCAGATGTACCTGTAAGACTTTCGGGTAGAGCCACCCTGTAGTCAGTTGGAAGATGGAATTGGAGCATTCATTCATGTCATTAAAAGTATTTTCATGGGGCAGGTATTTGGCCTTGTGGCTAAGCCACCAGCTGGGACACACACCTCCAGCATCAGAGTGCCTGGCTTCGCATCCCAGTTCCACTGCTGATTCCAGCTGCCTGCTGGTGCACAACCTGGGCTCAGCAGTGACAGCTCGAGGAGTCGGGCCCCTGCCACCCAGGCGGGAAACGCAGCCTGCGCTCCAGTTCCCCACACTGGACTGGCTCAGCCTCAGCCGCTGTGGAGGGAACCAGTGGAGGCGAGTTTGTTCTCTCTCTATCGGGCTGTCAGTCTTCTCAGTATGTCTACCTGCTTCTCTCTCTCTACCTCTCAAATGAATAATATTGTTTTTCACTTTAAAGTGTTTTCACTTCATCTTTTTCTTTTTTTAATTGATTTGACAGGTAGTTATAGACAGTGCGAGAGAGAGAGAGAGAGAGAGAGAGAGGAAGATCTTCCTTCCGTTGGTTCACCCCCCAAATGGCCTCTACGGCCGGTGCTGCGCTGATCCGAAGCCAGGAGCCAGGTGCTTCTCCTGGTCTCCCATGTGGGTGCAGGGCCCAAGCACTTGGGCCATCCTCCACTGCCCTCCCGGGCTCCAGCAGAGAGCTAGACTGGAAGAGGAGCAACCAGGACTAGAACTCGGTGCCCATATGGGATGCCGACCCAGCAGGCAGAGGATTAGCCAAGTGAGCCACGGCGATGGCCCCACTTCATCTTTTAAGAGAATAAGTTCATTTTCAGTAAGGTTGTACTGAAGCATTAAACCTTATGATAAAGTGCATTTAACATGATTAGATATTGGTATCAGGGTTTATTGTGGATCTGGGAAAAATAAAAGAGAAGCCTTGAAAGTTGTTCTGTTTGCATTTAGGTTTCCTTTTATCCCTCGCCGTATGGCTGTTCAGAGCACAGCAGGCTGATAACCTTCTGTATTTAATTCTTCATGTACTACATTCACAATGCAGAAGCTGAAACGGCTCAGCAGCTGCTTTTTAACTACGTGTGCAATCATGTAACAGAAGCCTTTTATCTGTGATAATATTAGCAACCATTTCAGAACCAACTGAATTTTGTGGGCTTACCTATTTCAAGGGTACTTTTGAAAAAAAATTTTTTTTTCCTGACTCCAAAAGAATGCATGAGCACTACAGACAACTGGAAAACCAGGAAAGCTTAAAGGAGAGCACCCAGTCAATAAAGGGCATAATTCTGTATACATCCTCCAAATCTTTCCAAATACCACCTCCCGCAGGATGTATCTATGTGAGTAAAAGCAAAGCTCAAATCATATTAAACCCACAATTATACAACTGGTTTTTTTATATTAACTCATGCGTGCAATAAGTCATATTCATTCATGCAAACAAACTAAGCACTTACTAGGCTCCAGGCACTGAACAAAGTACAGAGGATGAGGGAAAAAATATAAGGAAACTATTACAATAAAGTGAGATAAATGCTAATAAGGATACAGATGAATTACAACAGAAGGAGCAGAGATAATCCTCTGGGCTAGGTGTCAGGGAAGCTTGGGCAGGAGATACTCCATGAGTGATTACTAACACAGAAGTTCACTGGAGAAAACAGAGCCAGGTAAGGAGCAGATACTGTAAAAAAAAAAAAAAAAAAAAAAAAAAAAGGGCAAAACTCCAGTATGGATAAAAAGGTGGAAGAGTGGAAGACGTGAGGCTGGAAAGCACAAATAGTCATTGTGGGACATTCAAGCAGAGGGTTGACGTGCTTAGATTTATGTCTTGCTCTGAAAATACTACAGCTTCAAGGACTGAGAGAAGCAAAGAGGAAAAGGAGGGCTATCCAAAAGAGGACTGAATGAGATAAGGGATGAAAGACAATGTTAGAAATGATAATGAACTGGAACACCTGGATTCTAGATAGGTAACTTCTTTCTTCTCTTCCTTCCTTGGTTACTGAGGGTCTGCTACCTATAAGCAGCCATGAGAAACAAAAAGGTGACATAGCCCAATTCTTATAGCTTCAGAGCTAATAGGAAAGAATAGGTAAGAATTTATTCTTTTTGCTTGCCCAACATGCATAATCCTTTTTCATTGAAAGAGCTGTCCAATTTCCCTTTGAGAGAGCTAGCCACATCTGACTCACAGTCTGCGTAGTGGGAGTGGGAATGCTACAGTCAACCCTACCCTAAGAACAGAGTACATGACCTTGGCCAGGCAAACAGGAGCATCTCACTTTCTGAACTCAGTGATTGGTTCAAGGATAGACACATGGCTCAAACAGGGCCAACAAGATCACTCCCTAGAGAATGTGGTCAAACCAAAGAGAAAGAACTCAACAGCTCTCGGATCCCAGGCTGCCAGGTGAGTGTCTACTCAGTATAAATTCACACAGAGGTAAGCCAAGAAGAAAAAAATAGAAAAGGAGCGACCACTGTGATCTTCTTAGTGAGGCTGCATTCAGCCAAGTCCTCCTAGACATCTAAATGATGTCAATAAATTCCTGTTTTTTGGTGACAGTGGATTTGATTTGAATGTTGTCACTTCAGTGGAAAGAGGGCTAACGAATTCAAAGACAGTCACAAAATTATAGCACAGAGTGAAAGGTAGTACAACAGACTTAGTTACAAGACACAGTAGCACAAAAGAGAGGAGTCAAGTCAGGGAAACTTTCACAAAGAAGGTGATGCTTAACTGAACTTTTGAATTGGCTATCTGGCAAGTGAAGGAGCAATGGATATTCTATGCAGTAGAAATAACAGGAGTTCAGGTGGGCATCTGTTGCAGTAATTAAGTTGCAGCTTGGGACACCCATGTCCCATATATGAGTGCCTGGTTCAAGTCCCAGCTACCCACTCCTAACCCAGCTTCCTACTAAGGCATGCAATGGGAGGTGTGGGATGATGGCTCAAGTACTTGGATCGCTGCCACCCACATGGGAGATCTGGATGGCGTTCCAGGCTCCTGGCTTTGGCCTGGCCAAGCCCTGGCCAGTGCAGGCATTTGGGGAATAAACCAATGGATAGAAGATCTCCCTCCATCAGCCTCATATTGAAATAAAATAAAAATAAATAATTTTTTTAAACACACACACACACACACACACACCATGAGCAGAAACCAGGAACTGGGAAAAAACAAGTCCATTGCACAGAAGCTCCAAGTTCACAGCAGAAAGCAGATTGAGAAGGAATCTGTATGTTGTATAGGTAATAAGCGGCCCTGGGGTGATCAAATCTGATTTTCCACCCTTGTTTAACCACTCTAGATCAGCCTTCTCAGAGGTGAGATAAGGTAGCTTAGAACACATCACTACGAATTGATAAAAACCTCACACTTTCTTACCTGCTGATAGAATTCATCATCTTTAGGGGTCAGATATGGGAGCCAAGTGTCTTCAAGCTCCTCAAGAAGCCTCAGTTTCTGTTAATAAAAAAAAAAAAAAAAACAGATAATATAAAATGACTCAAATATAAGGTAATATCTTATTTTTCCAATAAGAGAATAAAAAATTCAGCTAACCTGACTACATAAACTTTTAGAGATAAAAATCGGTCAAATGCCAATTATAAGTTAAGTGAATTACCCACATTTTAAATTATACATTGTATAAAGCATTTTGATATAATGATTACATTCACTCCCACATTTCAGGAGACTATCTGAATTAATCTACACATGCATCATTTGACATCAGGGACTTTTTCAGCACTGAGGTCCCTTTTGTGTCATCCAATACAGTTTTCTACAACAAATCTTCCTATCTATATGATCTGCCTGAGACAGTAGTTTCTAAATCCTTCTATGAAACTATGACTGGAAACATAAGGCAAGCTTCAAGTATCTATTTGCATAACACTGGGATATTTGGAATATTGATTCATCATGTAAATATGTATTTGTGATCATATCTACTTATAGCATTGCTTTTTAATTGTGATCTTTCATCACTACCATAATTACTAAGTCTGTGCTAACCATCTTTTTTTTCTTTTCCAGTTTATGAAATAACATTTTTAAGCATCCACAGCAAGAACTGTCTAAGGCCTTTTCAAGTAATTATGTCTTCCCCAAACAGTACTGCTCAAATAATGTAACTGAGATAATCCCCTATTATAAAGTACCTTTTAACAGCAGAAAATACATAGAAGGTGACTTCCTCTTTCTTAGGGTTTTTTTCAAAGAATGTATGATCTTACAGTCAAGCATATATGGAGTCTGTGTGAACATGACATATAAATGGCATAAGTATGTATACATAGATGTAGAAACACATAGGTACATGCTAGAGAAATTCTTTGTAAGGAAAGAAACAAAAATGGCAGAAATAATTGGTTTTCAAATAAAACACATCATCACTGGTGCTATTATCAGCCAGTAAGTCGCCATAAGAATCAGGAAATGGCACACCTTATTCTGAGCCAATAGAATCCCACTTGATAGAGTATGGCTTGGTAAACACAAACTGGATGTCAGCCCCCACCTGTTCCAATGATTACTGTCTTTAAACAGGGCCCAACCTGCTCAACCAGACATGGTGGCCCAGAGCATTATCTTCTTCCACCCCAGGAAAGCAGCCTTCCCACACAAACTGTCACAAGTAGAGGTGAGACACAATGAGATGCAGGCAGGGGCAGAGCAGGAAGGCTCAAAACATTCAATCGTATGTTTGTTTGTTTGTTTGTTTGTTTTTATTTTTTATTTTTTGACAGGCAGAGTGGACAGTGAGAGAGAGAGACAGAGAGAAAGGTCTTCCTTTGCCGTTGGTTCACCCTCCAATGGCCGCCGTGACCGGTGTGCTGCGGCTGGCGCACCGCACTGATCCGATGGCAGGAGCCAGGTACTTCTCCTGGTCTCCCATGGGGTGCAGGGCCCAAGCACTTGGGCCATCCTCCACTGCACTCCCTGGCCACTGCAGAGAGCTGGCCTGGAAGAGGGGCAACCGGGACAGAATCCAGCGCCCCAACCAGGACTAGAACCCGGTGTGCCGGCGCCACTAGGCGGAGGATTAGCCTCGTATGTTTGTTTTGATTTTTGAACTACAGACATACATTAGCTGTTCAACATATTACCTGCACCAGTTCAATGACATTACTAACTAATTCTTCACCTGGACTTCAGCACGAGGAGGAAGCGACAGGATGTGGCCTTTGTTTCAGAAGGCACACCCTTTTGCCCAGACTTCTGCATAAGCTTTAGTATGTGTTTGGGAAGCTCTCAGAGACTAGCACTCTGAAGAGTGAAGCAGGGGTGAAAAACTGGCTCTGACAATTCCTTCCTGTCAAATGCCAACCAGTGGGTAAACACACACAACATGAGAGTGCACTCTGGACTGCAGGCAGAAGGGGCTCACATGTGATTGTCAGATCTGCCTAACTGCAGCACCTTGGCCTGATGTACAGTAAATGCACACCGCTGGGCCCTGCAGCAAACTGCTCACACGCACGCTTTCTCACTGTCACACTGGTGTCAGATCCACCAAATTGCTCACAAATGCCACACAGATGGCCAGAGAGAGGGCAATGCTGCAGCTCTCCCACCTGGAAGGAGGAGCTTGGGAAGACCCTTCTATGCCAGTCAATGCCCATTTCCATAGCACCAGCTGGGAAAGGGACACAAGACCTCATGTGAAACACACCACGAAGGATGGAAGTTGGTGTAGCAAACTTTACTCCAGCCTCTCAGCTTCTGCCTCACCATCAGAAAGTTCAGCTGCGTGGCCAGCTTTGTGGCGCAGTAGGTTACGCCACCACCTGCAGTGCTGCCATCCCATATGAGCGCTGTTTTGTGTCCCCACTGCTGTACTTCCACTCTAGCTCTTTGCTAATAGCCTGAGAAAGGCAGCAGAAGGTAGCCCAAGTGCTTGTTACCACATGTTAGATCCACATGTTACCACATGTTAGATCCAGAAGAATCTCCTGACTCCTGGCTTTGGCCTAGCCCAGCCCCAGCTCTTGTGGCCATTTGGGAAATGAACCAGCAGATGGAAGATCAATCAATCGATTGATCGATCTCTCTCTCTCTCTCTGCAACTCTGTCTTTCAAATAAATAAATAAATTTTTTTAAAAAGTCAGGTTGTGTCTTAGCTTGAGTATGTTACCAAACAGAGATATGGTTTGAGAATCTTACAATAATTACTTAAAAAGATTTAACTGGATTGTGGGCCATAATGTGAAGGGTGCATCTTACTACTCTTGTATCTTCAGCTTCCTTAGATTACGCTGCTAACACATTATTCTTTATCCATTTGTCATGTCCACATAATACATTTTTTTTTTTTTGACAGGCAGAGCGGACAGTGAGAGAGAGAGACAGAGAGAAAGGTCTTCCTTTGCCGTTGGTTCACCCTCCAATGGCCACCACGGCTGGCGCGTTGCGGCCGACACACCGCGCTGATCCGATGGCAGGAGCCAGGTACTTATCCTGGTCTCCCATGGGGTGCAGGGCCCAAGCACTTGGGCCATCTTCCACTGCACTCCCTGGCCACAGCAGAGAGCTGGCCTGGAAGAGGGGCAACCGGGACAGAATCCGGCGCCCCGACCGGGACTAGAACCCGGTGTGCCGGCGCCACAAGGCAGAGGATTAGCCTAGTGAGCTGTGGCGCCGGCCACATAATACATTTTAAATGATGCATCTGATTCAATTTCATTTTGTTACTTGAGTCTTTTCAAAATGCAGCCACAAATTAAGGCAATGAATGCCCAAGTGAAAATAATCATGATCTTGCGAGGGTTTCAAATAAGAAGTGGTAACATTCACATAGTCCATAAGCAGAGTCTGAGTGGGGAAGAAAGACTGTCCCTGAGGAAGACACATCCAAGCTAACACCAGAAAGATCAGTGGGAGGTAGTTAAACCAAAAGAAGTGTAACTAAACATTCCACATGTGCATATAACGTATTTGTTTTCAACTGGAAAGAAACAAACTATAAACCATTTCAACAAACTCAGCATTTCTTGTCCTATTCTCACAACAGGGCATATTCAAAATAAACAGGAGTTGGAAACAGTAGAATTTTGGGTGTAGACTTCATCACTTTCTAGACATGGTACTACCCTTGGATCAACTTCCCTCAACATAAATTTCCTAATCTGTAAAACACTGTGTCATAAGCTTGTGAATATGAAATAAAATTCATCATGAGTGCATTTTGCAAATTATAAACTATGCGGATATTAGGCAAATAGCATTCAAATGGAGGGTTGGGGGCCGTGAAACAAATTATAAGCTAAGGAACCAAAATCTGAGTTCCAGTGCCAGTTCCACCATAGACACAATTTGGGACTATCTTCTTATTTCCCTGTGAAGTGTAAATGAAAGAACACCTAGAAAGGTTTAAGAACAATTCCTAGCACACAAAAATCTTTAACACACTTTGGCAACCATTTGTTGTCACTCTTAGTAACTTATGTTTGGAAAAGGACAGTTTTGTGAAGGTACCTCAAGAAGTTTGTAGAAAATGGAATGAAAAGGTAAGTTTATTAGTGCAAGAAAAGTTTAAAATCTATACATAGATTTTTCATGATACATGTTTTCCATAAACTTCCGAAAACCTCTTATATTGATTAGATACAAATCAACTACAAAGTAATCTCCATAGACCCTATCATATTATACGTTAGACCATAGATTAATCCTACTTGATAAAGATAGATATTAATCTGCCTGAGTGAACTACAGGAGAAATATATAAAAATTGCCCATAAAAGTTGTTAGACAGACAGATGCCTCTATTAAATCACCCAAGTTTTAATAAAACAAAATCATAAGATTTTAGAACAGGTGAAAAAACTACAGCCCACCCAGAGCTATTAAGTGGCTGCACGAGCGATGACATGCAGGTCACGACAGAATCACAATTCACATTCTCAATTCCCAAGTACTGTAACAAGCTCACGCACCTTACTCTGCCACAGCATCATGGATGCCAAAAGCAATCACGTCTTTCCAGAACTGTTTAATTTTTACCTTGAAGATAACACAAATAGCACAACTTTTTAAATTTTTAATTAAAACAATTCTACTTTTAAACTTTTAACCAACGCTTCTAAGTACTTGAACAGCCAAGTCATGGTGGCTTTAGTAGTACTACAATGCATTCAAAAAGAGATCTTTGCCATTATGATTTGGATGTCTTGTTCTAGTTTCAGTAATGGGAGCTTCTTCTGTAGCAGGCCAAATAGCTAGCTGGACTAGAAAAGCTCCTAATCCACAAGAATTCAGGAAGAATACTCAGAGGTTTTCACATCAAGATGGTGCAAAACTAGCCTCAGACTAAATGTCCTCGTTCTGTTCCTTCCTATCAAAGCTTGAAAGCAAGATCTGAAAGGACCAAACTGTTGCCAAGTAACTTAAATCAATTTCCTAACAAAGTTCAGGAATATTTAAAGGATAAAGAACAAAATCCAGCACTCAAATATTAAAATTCGTGTTTGTCAATCTACAAGTCTTGGAAAGTAAAAACTGAACTACAAAGCAAGACAGTATGACTGATAATGAAGAGAAAAAGCAATAAGGCCCCAAATGGCACAGTTAACAGAATCGATAGAGCAGCACATTAAAACAGTGACTATAATAATTTTTGTAGTTTGTAAGTTCCAAAACTTGGAGAAAGACCAATCATGGTAAGCAAACAAACAGAAGAACAATATTAAATCAAGCTTTTAGGAAGGAAAAGCTCAGTGTCTGAGATGAAAGACACACTGCACAGGATTCAAAGATTTGTTATCACTTAAAAAAAGAAAAAGAAGAAGAATGAATGAATCCAAAGACAGCAAGGGAGAGAAGTTATCCAAATGAAAAAGAAAAATGACAGGACAAAACTAACAGAGCATCAGTGAGTTGTAGGATGACTTTAAACAGTTTAATAAGATAAATGGAGTCACCAAAGAAGAGGGGAGAGAATAAGAGAAAGATAAAACAGGGGCCATTGCTTTCCAAATTTGATAAAATTAAAAAAGGAAGTTCACAGATTCAAGATGTTCAAAGAATCCCAAACAAAAAAAACTGATGGAAATAACACCAAATCACATCACAATCAACTTTTTTAAAAACAATGAAAAACAGAATGTTTTGAAAGCAGTCAGAGAAGAAAGACATACTATCTACTCAAGAACAAACCATGAGAATAACATGAAATCCTGTGAACATCGCCAGAAAGTGGTGGGAAATACCATAATATCTTACAAAAACAATGGCAAAATAAACACTTTCAGATACATAAGAGCAGAAAGAATTCAATACCAGCAGACCTTCACCATGAGATAAAGGAAGACCTTCAAGCAGAAAGAAAATGACACTACATACAAATCTGAATTTACATAAAGGAATGCAGGCCATCAGAAATAGTAACTACATAGAAAATACAAGATATTTAACTCTTTTATCATTTACATCTTTATCAAAGATAAAGTATATTTATCTTTGACTATTTAAAGTGAAAGTATTTTATTATAGAGGTTATAAAATATGTAACAGTAAAATGTAGGACAACAATATTAAGAAGGCAAGAAGAAATGTGCTATATGTAAGGGGCGATAATGCTACTTCAAGGAACACTGGGTTAAAATAAAGACAAATACTACAAACATTAAAACAACCATAATATGGCCGGCGCCGCAGCTCACTAGGCTAATCCTCTGCCTTGTGGCGCCGGCACACCGGGTTCTAGTCCCGGTTGGGGCACCGGATTCTCTCCTGGTTGCCCCTCTTCCAGACCAGCTCTCTGCTGTGGCCAGGGAGTGCAGTGGAGGATGGCCCAAGTGCTTGGGCCCTGCACCCCATGGGAGACCAGGATAAGTACCTGGCTCCTGCCATCGGATCTGCGTGGTGCGCTGGCTACGGTGGCCATTGGAGGGTGAACCAACGGCAAAAGGAAGACCTTTCTCTCTGTCTCTCTCTCTCACTCTCTCACTGTCCACTCTGCCTGTCAAAAAAAAAAAATAATAATAATATAACAAAACAAAGAGTTATAGGTAATAAGTCAACAAATAAAATGGAATCATAAAAGAAAATCTTAAGAATCCAGAAATAGAGAAAAAAGAGAATAAAGAGTATATAGTAAAATGGTAAAAACAATCAATCAAAATGACTCAGTTAAAAGACAGAGACTATTAGATTTGATTTTTTAAATGCAACACTTGGCCGGTGCCGCGGCTCACTAGGATAATCCTCCGCCTAGCGACGCCGGCACACAGGGTTCTAGTCCCGGTTGGGGCGCCGGATTCTGTCCTGGTTGCCCCTCTTCCAGGCCAGCTCTCTGCTGTGGCCAGGGAGTGCAGTGGAGGATGGCCCAAGTGCTTGGGCCCTGCACCCCATGGGAGACCAGGAAAAGCACCTGGCTCCTGGCTCCTGCCATCGGATCAGCGCGGTGCGCCGGCCGCGGCGCGCCGGCCGCGGCGGCCATTGGAGGGTGAACCAACGGCAAAGGAAGACCTTTCTCTCTGTCTCTCTCTCTCACTGTCCACTCTGCCTATCAAAAAAAATAATAATAAAAATAAATAAATAAATGCAACACTTAACCATACACTATTCATAAGAAATTCACTTACATTATTCACAATATAAAGCAACAAATTGTTTCAAAATAATCAACACAATATGAATGTACTTAATGGATACTGTACATGAAAGAACTTTATATTTAAAAATTGTTAAAATGGTAAATGGTATGTTTTGCATACCTTATCACAACAGCAACAAAAGGACTAACAAAGTAAAAGAGTAAATAAATCATTTAGCCAGCAATACTAATCAAAAGAAAGCTGAACTGACTAAAACAATACTAGACAAAATAGGATTAAGAACAAAGAATATTACAAGTGATAAAGTTATTTCTAATGATATAGGAGTCAACTCATCAACAGAACATACTATCCTCAATAAATATATATTTTCCTAACAATATATCTTCAAAATACACATGACAAAAGCTGAACAAGCAAAGAGAAATAGATAATTCTACAGCTATAGTCAAAAATTTTAATAAACAGCCATATCTGGGGCTCCAATTATGTTTGAAAAGAAACAAAGTACTCTAAAAAGTTCTCTAACAAAATGGAATTAAATTAAAAATCAGTAGCAGACATCCAAAGATACCTCAAAAAGTTCATTAAAAATGGAAGTTAAAGCTTAAGTTTGTTTTGATGCAAAAATTTTTTGACATATTTATGCATAGTTTTCTCATAGTACACATTTTCATTGTATTAAAAAGTCTTTCAACCAAAATAATATTTTAATTCAATTATATATAAACTTGTAGAAATACCTATGTAACTAAAAAATTCCCCAAATATTTGAAAACGAATTCCTTACTAAATAATCAATAATCCATTGATCAAAGAAGAAAAGGGAAACTGGAAGTACTTTTACACAAATAAAAATGAAAATACAACATTTCAAAAACTTGTAGTACACATATAAAATAAGATGTACAAAGAAAATTATGATACTAAATGGTTGCGTTAAAAAAAGAAAACTGGTGGTGACTGGTGCAATGGTTAACCTGCTGCTTACAATGCTCATATCCTACATCCAAGTGCCTGGTTCAAATAGAGGCTCCTCTAGTTCCAATCCAGCTTCCTGCTAATGTGCACCTGGGGAGGCAGCATGTGATGGCTCAAGTACTTGGGTCCCTGCCACCTACAATGGAGAGCCGAATGGAGTTGCATCCTCCTGGAGAGCATTTTCTGTTTCTCTTGAGCTCTAGAACACGTGTTCTTGCTTTCTCTGTCTCTTTTATACCACATTAAAATAAAATAATTATTTAAAGGGGGGGGGGGTACATCAATTACCTAAGCTTCCACTTGGACAAACTGGAAAAGAAGAACAAACAAAACTCAAAGTAAGTAGAAGAAACAAAATAATGAAAGATCACAGCAGAAATCAAGGCAATATAAAACAGGGAAGTAAGAAAATCAATGATGTCAAAAGCTAGAATTTTGAGAAAAGAAAATTAAAAGTCTCTAGCCAGACTGGTAAGGGGAAAATAAAAAACAGAAATTGCAATATACCAATTAAAAGGATAATAAAAGGATATTATGAACTTTATGCTAATTAAGTTCTAGAACATGAACAAAATAGACAAATTCTTGGAGAGACACAAATTAACAAGGTTCACTAAAGTAGAAGTGCTGAACAGTCTCATATCTATTAATGAAATCAAATCTATATCTTAAAAACTTCCCACAAAGAAAACTCCAAACTCAAAAGTCTTCACTGATTAATTCTTCCAAGCTTTATAAAAGAAATAACACCAATTCTACAAATTCAATCAGAAAAGTAATGTCATTTTAATCCCAAAAACAAGCAGAAAAGTTGTAAGAAAACTACAGACCAATATCCCTCATATATATGATGCAGAAAGTTTTGATAAAATAGGGACTGGGGCATTGTGGCATAGTGGGTAAAGCCACGACCTGTGATGCCAGCATCCCATGTGGGCACCTGTTGGTGTCCTGGCTGCCTCACTTCTGATTCAGCTCACTGCTAATGTGCCTGGGGAAGCAGCGGAAAAATGTCCCAAGTCCTCGGGCCCCTGTGCCTAAATGGGAGACCCAGATGAAGCTCCTGGCTCCCAGCTTTGGCCTGGCTCAGTACTGGGCATTGTGGCCATCTGGGGAGTAAACCAGCGGATGGAAGATTCTTTCTCTCTCTCTCTCTCTCTCTCTCTCCCCCCCCCCTAACTTTGACTTTCAAAATAAATAAATCTTTAAAAAAAAAAAAAGGAAAGAGGAAGTTTTGACAAAATGTTAGCAATTTAATCCAACAAAACTTCTAAAAAGGGTAATATATTATAACCAATGTTACCTAAGGAATGGCAGTTTTATTTAACATTTGAAAATTAACATAGTTCATCATAACAACAGACTATGAGAAAGAAGAAAAAAAAAAACTGAAAAGATGTAGTAAGAGTATTAGAAAATACTCCAGGCCCAGG